ATACAGGCATACAGGCATACAGCCTTAACCTTAAACAGTTTTTTGCTCACAAAGTGGCCTCTCTCAGACACAAACCCGCATTCTTACTCTTGTCAGCCCAAAGTTTTACCATTACACTAAGTAACGGCCCCTATCGTATAATAAAAGTATCAATCTAGAAGAACTCCACTCTTAAGTGTTTCATTTCTTGTGGAGATAATGGGTTCCAGCACTGCATTCTACCTAGTATCCCTCTGCCTCCTGAGTCATTCACCACCATTCCTACACAGTCTAACAACATTCACCTCTGTCAATCAAATTTTGTTCGAAGCACATAAGCATATTGCTCATTATCATAAGTAGATTGATCTTTACTAACCAAAATTCTGTGTTTATATGCTTATCTTTAATGTAATCTTTTTTGAATTGTCAATGTTATTAGTTTTCAAATTAAAAACAGATCAGGAAAAATGCCGTAGAACGTACCAGGAGCAGGAAAATAACTAAGAAACAAAATATCAAACTGGAAGAAGACCCACATAGTCATAGAGGTTATAAAACTAAATTATACTCGCAACCCATAAAAACCACAAGTTCACAACTACTATGCTTGACAATACCCAGATTCTTTGTACTAATTGAAAAACTCCTGCAATCCAAGAAAAAAAAAAAAAAAAGAAAAAGAATCACAAAGGCCAATACCCCAAATATCAACAAGTCAATAACCCACAAAATATAGTATATCATCAGTTGAAAAACAGAGAAAAGAACCGCCAGAATAAGCAATTGGCAAGAAAATACTAACTTATGTCGATGTCATTTAATTTCCATCTGTTACCGAGAGATTGGACCACGAGCCTGAAACGCAGTCTGGGATGTGGGGAGCATCTTGAGGCGAGCCTGAGCTTGCGAGAATCTCGGAAACGAAGTGCAAAAGGTGGTGAAGGTGTTGAAGATGGTTTCCTGGAGATAATTAAAGGATCCAAAGACATTATTGAACGTCCAATATCAGGCCCTTTTTCATTACAAACGGTTATAAACAAACACATTATGAACAACTGTGCTTCTGCTTCCAAGTTCCAAGAGACTGGTGCTACTAACTGCAGCATCCAGCGGGGACGCTCACACCGACTGTTGGGTCCGAACTAATTTGCCACGTAATGTTCCGGGGATCGATACGCACCGCTAAATGTGTGGGACCCACTTTTAAAATTCTGACGACAGTGTTGAGAAGAATGCAAGGAAACACAACTTCAAATCTTCAATAATGCATGCAACTATTGATGCATCGCCCATCCGCCCTGCAGCGGCTGTTCGGCTTTAGTTTGATTTTCGTGAGATAGGCTACAATCAGTGCAAGACCCGTTCAGTCTTTACAGCGGGATATCTCCGTATTTCGGTGCTCTATTTGTGGTGGGACTCCGTATTTATGTGTTTTATTTTAGGGAGAATGTCGATTCAGCCCAGGGTTAAAAATTCTTAAGCCCATATAACGGTTGGGTGGGATAGGTGTCAATTCGGAATTGATGATTTGATGTCAATTCATAAGTGGGCAGTGAAGTATTTTACATTTTGAATGGAATTTAGAAATCTGAGATAAGCTTATCCGTATTTTTCCGTTTATTATTTTATGGGACAAGGTTCAAAACGTGTGACGGTGTGAGAACGGACTTGCAAGCCGAACTCGGGAAGTCGGGTGCGATGAGTACGAATGATGATGATGATAAAACACTTAAAAAGGGATAACCGCGAAAGTGCTCACTGGATCATCTGAATTCCGGATGAAACTGATGCCGTCAATGGAGAAACAGCTTAACGTGGAACATCACAAGTTGTGAACAAAGCATTTAGCGGGTAGTTACAGACCGTGGAGGTGTTTGCTTTCATTGAGTAATTGCGTTTTTTTTTCACAATTTTTGAAAAACTTTTTAGATATGGTGTTAGCTTGGTTCCATTGCCGTTTTATGATATACGGTTTTTAAAATCGGATTGGACAAGGAACCGTTCTGGGTCCTGTTTTCCGTTCGAACAGATGGCCTGCACCGATAAAAACAAATTAAAAAATAAAAAATAGTCAAAACCGTTCGGGATTTCAACCACTTGGGTTAATGGTTCATTGACCAAATCAACGGTTTTTAGCTAAAAAGTGATTTTAAGGTAAAACATTCCGCTTTTTTCAATCCAATCGTAGTCCGGTCCGGTCCGATTTTGAAAACACTAGTAGTGGTAGTATATTATGATTTTTATTATTAATTTTTGCTTATGATTGTATTATTATCATAACAACAATTATCATAATAATAATTAATACCACTAGACCCATATTGTACATGGACTGGGTCATATGTCCCATCTTTTCATATGTGGGTTTATCAAAAACGGGTCATAGCAGACCCGTTTTGATCGTCTTCTTTGCCTAGACGATAAAGTGGGTCCTGCATCTATCTGACTTGTTTTCTTAACCATATTTTGACGTTTATAGTTATTTTTTCACAATTTTTTGCTTTTCATTAGTTTATATCTATATATGTTATATATATATCTATATATATATATATACTTCAGACACGTGGCATTGTAAAATTTCAATAGATAGAATTTCAGAAGAGGTTAAACTCTCACTCTTAAAAAAGTCTATCCACTCGCAAAAAAGTGATAACTCTACTTTCTTAAAATTCACACCTAATCCCTAAAAAGTAGCCACTTTTAATGTTATGGTAGTAACTGAATTTTATTCAAACATAACCATTTCAAAAGTAACGATTAAACAATAATTTAAGTTAAAAATATTCAAAATATTAAATGGATAAAAATAAAAATAAGTGAAATTCATAAAAATGACTAAACAATTAATACAAATGATATGAGTTTCATTATTTTAGATGAAATAGTTTATCAATTGCAAAATAGATTTAACTTTTATTGGAAGCGTAATAAATTTATCAAATTAATAGTAAATACCAATTAAAGTGGGTTATTGCTTACAAATAAGACTTCGTTTAATCTCTAAGTCATATTAAAAACAACATAAATTAATAGTGATTTTTGAACAAAGTAAGTTCGAATAGATTGTCAATTACAAAGATGTAAGACCCGTGTTATTTTTTCTAATTTAATTTTTTATAATTAAATAGTAAATTTCAAATTCAATGATACTATAGTTGTCCCTTAATATGGAATCATTCTCTAGATAAAACAAGGTAAGTCTCTTAAATCAAATAAAAAGCCAAACCTAAATGTTTAATATAAATATTTTAAAATTTTGAAATAATTCAAATTAATGGTCCCATACTTAGTACGGGCGTCATTCCTTGTGTTGACAAAAATAAAGAGGTTTAACCTCCTACCTGATGTTTGAAAGTGTTTGAAAGTGGGATGAAAATCTGAACTACTGAAACATTTGCAACTATAGCTACAACATAGTACAGATGAAACATTTGCAACCAGGATGTGTTTGAAACTTAGAACAGTATGAAACTTTTAAGAGTTTGAATCTACTCAACCAAAATAACTTACTGTCAAGGCTGAAAACCTGCAACTTTTGAATAGATTGGAACTTTGAAAGAAAATCTGTTCAACCAATAAAAAATGAGAGGAGAGGAGAATGAAAGCAAGTTGTGTAAATCTGAGATGGTTAAAAACGTTTAAAACCTACAATTGCTGAGACACTTGAAACCTACAATGATGTCTTTTGGTCTCCTAATGGTGTGAGAGTTTGAGAGGGTGTGAGAGTTTAGTTTGAGATGAAAGAGTGAAAGAGTGGTTCAGTTATAAGAATCTAATTAAAGCATACGTTTGAAAGGATAAATATTTTGGTCTCCCAAAGATGTTTTGGGAACCCACAAGTAATGAGTGTAATGGCAATGTTCTACTTTAATTATTTATTGAAAAAATAGAAAAACCTAAAAAATTCCAGATAGTTAAGTGTGTTCTCAAAACAGCCAAATCATAGCAATGTGCGCCACCAAATCAACTACATCGCAAAAATGTGCCAACTCAGCACATTACAAATTAATATATAGATATATATGAGAAATAGGAACCACGTGAGACGCCATAAGAAAACACTTTGATAAGAGAAAAAAAACATCAAAAATAACATTTTTTAAGATGGGTCATTTTTTGTCAAAATGGCAAAACATTTTTCACACCTTTTTTGGAAAACGGCTAACTAAACAATATATGTCAATGCATTTTTGTCATTTTTTTTTTCAAAATCTAATGCTATGTATGTGGCATTGCTATTTTAGAAAACAACAATAAAATCTGTTGTAGTCCGAATCCGGGCAACAATTAAAGTGGAGAAGAGAGGATGAATTGAGTGAGCGAACTAGGGTGTGGGAGTCTCAGTCCTACAAGGAGACTTGTTGGACTTAGGTCATGCCAATGGGCCTCGTCACTTGCCCCCCACTTTTGAGACTGAGGTAGTCATCTTGTTGCTCAAGCAATGACAGGTCAACTCGGTCAAAGAAAATAATTCTATTGGAGAAAGGAATTAAATCCGAGCCATGCCACCATTCTATTAAATTCACCTATCTTCATCTAAGGCACATGGACCATATGCGCTCTTCAAGGGGTCACAACACTTCCGCTATAGTTGGCATGAGTGTTGGAGTTAATGCACCACTTTGACTTCTGAAGCATCTATCAAAGTCCCCTTCGCAACGGGATGTGCAACAATTGTCAGATTGTAGCAAAATCTATGCCATTGGTGGTGGACCAATCTGGGTCATTGAAGCTCCTATATAAGGAGAAGTCCCAAGCGATTATGATTCAATCATTTTCTTCTAAGCATTTGGAAGATAGAGCAAAGCTAGATGATTTAATCATTTGCTTCTAAGCATTTGGGGCGTATTGATCGGTACATATCATATTAGGGCCCCTTTGATATGCCCCTATACTAAGTGTTTCAAGGTCCCACCTATTTCAGGGGGTAAACAGGACTTAAATCGACTCCCCTTCCCCCCCCCCCCAAACAAGTTTCACAGCATAAAAGTAAAACCGACCTATCAGACTGTATTGATATTTTGAACATTCTATTTCTATTTGTCAATTCAGTAAGTTCCCTTACCCTTCCTATTAATTATGTCTACTTCAAGTTTTAGGTTTTGGTTCGAATGTTGTAGCTTAGGATCAGAGTTGGAAAGTGATCACTCTAGTTCAATGGTCGACCCCAAGGTGATGGTTAGAGAAACTGAGGTTGTTAGTCCTCTTACTAAGGACAAGGCCATTCTAGGGGGCTAAATCCAAGGTCCAAAGACAATTAGTAGATGTGGGTGCCAAGGTCAAGACAAAGGTTGAGATTTAGGATTTGGAGGTTGATGTCATCAATGTAGACGATGAGGTTGAGGATGTTCCTAAGGTCAAGACCTCGAGTGTAGTCTAGGAGGAGGTTGAGTCCATGAACAAGTCATCAGAAGGGTACGAGTTGGTGGTCCTGTCAGAGGAGGAGAGCATTTGCTGGGCCCATAAGGGTTGGCTTTATGCTACAAAGGCCATCTAGTGGTCGGGCTTAGGTTCCTAGTGGATGAATAGGTCACCTAGATTTTGACTTTACATCGAGTCACTCTGCCCCAACTAATGTCTAATTTGATGATATTCCTTACTTATGATATCTATGCTGCTCGAGTCTGCTAGGGTCTTTCAGGCCATTTTTGTGTTAAAGAACCATCCTTAATCCAAGGGGTGGTACTACTTCTTTGCTCGGAATCGGGGTACTCAATTTTTAAGGACTCCTTCCTCCATCCATACTGGGAAGGATCATTTCTTCGATGTGATCAGGCGGAAGGCATGAACATTGTCGACGAGATGGTTGGCCCTTGTAACCAACTTGAAGGAGCCCATGCGGGTAGGGAAAGAGAAGAGGAATTGAAGAGTCCAATCCGTGTTGAGATCAATGGGAAAGAGTTCTTGTCCGAGGCTATGTTGGTTGAAGCTAGGCTAAGTCGGGTGAATCTAAGTAGGAGCGTGTCATGAACCGACCAAAGTTTAATATTTATGCTCATACTTATGTTTGCTCTTGCTTGATGTAGAGATGAATGATCATCATGGACTATTTCAACATGTGAAAAAGAGGAAACACTAAGATATTGAGGGCCAAGGTTCGTCTTTGATGGATCCAAGGCAAGAAGCTCCATGGGTGGTCACCCAAGCAGCACCAAGAGCACATCGAGATTTTAGACAATGATCAATTCAAGGTAGGGACCACCAAGGTGACTCCTCAAAAACTATAGGGGAGGTTATTCGTGATAAAGTGGTCTACTCTTGTTACTAAGGTGACTACTGTTACCTTCCCATGGATCAAGAGGAGGCCAAGTTCCATTCTACTGAGGTTC